AAAAAAAGTGAGATAAAACTACATGAGGGAGGTAGAAACAAAAACTAGATTTTAATATAGCAATATATTAAATACACCACTAAAAACATGGTGTTGGGTAAAAAAAAAAAAAAGCAGAGAAAAGATATAGCACAAGCCCATCTTGTAAACTGAAAACATTTTACAGGCATATTTAAAGTCATATACTGAATTCATTAAGGTGAGTGCCTCTTGCAGAGGGTAGGGAGGAGGTAGGGAAAGAGGTAAAAAAGGAAAATTAAAACCAGTGGGAGGCCTTGAGGGCACTCATGACGATGACGTGCTGAGAATTAATAGGTGGGTCTGAGTCAACCCTGTACTTGAGAGCCAAAAACACCCAGTGCGGAAAAAATACCCAACCAAGAAACAAAAAACAAATACAGGCCGGGCGCAGTAGCTGACGCCTGTAATCCTAGCACTCTTGGAGGCCGAGGCAGGAGGATTGCTTCAGGTCAGGAATTCAAGACCAGCCTGAACAAAAGTGAGACCTTATCTCTACTAAAAATAGAAAAACTTAGCTGGGCGTTGTGGCATGTGCCTATAGTCCCAGCCACTCGGGAGGCTGAGGCAGGAGGATCGCTTGAGCCCAGGAGTTTGAGGTTGAGGTTGCTGACACCACGGCACTCACTCTAGCCCGGGCAACAGAGTGAGACTATCTCAAAAAAAAAAAAAACAAATACAAAGAAATGCTATATACAATATATAATAACAAACATTATTTTTTTAAAGTACGGCCATGGAAGGAAATACTAAGCAGTTATTCAAAAGATTGAGTTGGATCTATATGTATGAATATGGAAAAATGACTATAATTATATTCTTCAGTTTAAAAAAATTTAAAAAGCAAGGAATAATGTATTTACCAGGACCTTGTATCTGTGAAAAGTATGTGTACATTATATACATATATATACATGTATATATGGTATATGTATTTATCCAATAACATACATAATATGGTATTTAAATATGGTTGTCTGTGTACAGAAAAACACTCTAGAATATCGGTACTCAACCTTGGTTAAACACTTAGTATCACCTGAAGAGCTTCTAAAAGTCCTGATGCCCAGGCCACATCTCAGAATCACTATCCCTGGGGTTGGGACCGGGGCATGATCTCCCTTAAAGCTCTAAGGCCTTTCGAGGGGGCAGCCAAGGCTGAGGAGTGCTGCTCGAGAAGGACCCACCCACTTCAGTCTGCTAACAGCAGACACTTCCCAGGACTGGGACTGGGGAAGGGGAATTTCCACTTTTTGTATTTCTCTATTGTTTGAATTTTTACATCAAGTAAGTATTACTCTCGTATTTAGTGAGAGAGAGCGAGCAATAAACAAAGAAAGGGATCAGGGAAGAGGAGGTCTGCCCTTGGCTAAGCAGTCACCATGGTGTCCCCTCTGTCACCTACCTCAGGTGGGCTGCTGTACAGGGTTGTGGGACTCTGATTAAAGCCATTTGGCTTTTCTAGAACCACCTGTTCAAGGAAAAATAAAACTGGTAGTTAAAACAGTCCCAAGCAACCGGCTTTAAAACATTATTCTCCTAAGACTCAAATCTTACAAAGAGGGAGGAAAGGAAGGAGCAAGGAAGAGGAAAGGGGAGAAAAGGAGAGAAAAAAGGAAGGGAGAGAGGGAGGGAGGAGGAGAAAAGAGAGGAAAGGGAGGAAGAAAGGAAGGAGAAAGGAAGGAAGGAGAGGAAGGCAAGGCAGGGAAGGGAAGGGAAGGGAAAGGGAAAAAAAGATTTCCAGTGCTCCATGGGAACA